TTTCATTGGAAATTGCTCTAGACGACATGAAGGCACCTCGCTTTGCTTCGACTTACCTTTACAATCCACTCTTGCAGCAAAATATTACAAAACGCTTTGCTTTTCACAACTCTAAAAAGGATGCACGTATTGCACTGTTCAGCTGAAAAAGTTGCTAAAGCAATATAAAAGCGATCAACTTTTTACTGCGAGACCTAGGTCAAGTGGGATTCCCGAAACTAATGTTGAATTGTGTTGAGACATGTTTGGCTCCTTTTTGGCAATGTTATGGCTCCTTTTACAATATCTGTGGTGCAGAATTGAAAAATCCACCTCGCACCTATTTCTCTATCCGTCTGTGTGTTTAGATATTAAAAGGAATACACAAATACCTTTAAAGAATATCGTTACGAAAATCACATAATTGGGAAATTCTGCAGAAAATTTTTGGAAGGTAATAAAAACAAACAAAGATTTTGAAGAATAACAAACAAAAAGCGCGCAAACCAAAGATGTCCCAAGTTTTCGTTGCTTTGTGCTCTTTGATCGGTTTGAGCCGTTTTGAAATTCTTGTGCAGTTATGGCAACGATATCCTCATATTTTACTGCGCAATTAAGTAAACGGACAGACAGATGTGCTTAAATGCGTCCGGAATTCGGTGGTGGACAAAAATGTAAATATTTAATGGGGTTTTTCAAGTTTGACTCTGGGCGTTATAAAGGTATTGAAAAAAAAATTAAATTTTGATGCACTATTATATTGGGTAGGCGTGGTAAATTTTCTTCAGTTGCTACAGCGTCGCTCATATAATTTGCATTCAAATTTGTGGTTTATGAGTAAGGAGCAAAAAACCAATATTTTATCTCTTTTGAAAAACCGAGGGGTTCGCAGTTCACTTGCAATGCTTCCGCTTCATTTTGGACCCACGAGAATGTTTACGACAGATATGCATAACACAGAACATAAATCCATGTACACACTTTATGGAGTCTTTGAATTTTCCTTCTTGGTGCTGCGAATGTTTTGACGTGATGAATATGCGTCATTCATCCGCCTATCATTCATCATATCATCATTCATCATATACGATTCATCCGTCGGTGGTGGGTATGAAAACAACAACACCAGAGCCATTGTCGCGGTGCATTTTTAATTTATGGAGCTCTACGGCATGCAGTGCCACGGCTGCAAGTATAAAACAAAACTCGCCGAGTCTACAGGCCCAATGTCAGAGAGCATTTTAGAACCGTTCCATTTTTGACGAAAAAAAGGAGGGAGGATTTTATTAATAAATGAAGTTTAAATTTAAACTAACTTACCACACTTGCTCCAATTCTAATATTTACTGCTCTGAATAAGAAGCCAAGAACGACCTGCACGCTGTAACGTTTCGCAACTGAGTGTTCACAGGAAATTCCAATGAGAAGTAAAATTTTAAACCAATCCCGCAATAGATCCATCGTTGCATGGGCCTTATGGCGGATCGTATCCTGTTCAAAATGAACGCCGTTCATAGTCACAGCACACTTTCAAGCCAACAAAGCCGAGGTTCGAAAAAGTATAGTTACATGAACGGGCCAAAAACTGCAATAAATTGTCGGTCGTTGTAGACGGAAAGGTTGTTCGTTTCTTGTTCTTGTTTCTTCATTTTCCGGAGTCCCGAATACGACAGCTAGTTACAAACTTGAATTGACGAAAATTTCTGTAATCAGTAAAAATTATTACGTTTACAGTAATCATGATCTGATTCACGCATTTCGAGGATCCAACTAGCGAATGTATCTTAAAGCATTGTTCAAATGGTTCTCAACATTAAAACGCATTGATGTTATTAAAGATGGATGGGAAGATTTTCATTTTGTCAAAATCTATGCAACGCACATGAGAAGGAAACTTCAGAGAAGCTGTAAAGTGCGTTTAGGCTTGATCAAAATCTGAATCGATATAAGTATCTCCGCCCGTCTTATGGTCGCAACAGTACAAATATAAGCTTTAAGTTTGGCAGAAACGTTGTAAGTTCATGCGTGCAACTGTGCATCCAAAACGAGCCTGATAGTTCGAGTGACACATCCGCGGTGCAACTTGGGCTGTACCTAAATCTGTTTTTAAAAGCAAATTCATTCAGTACTCATAACCTAGAGCAGATGTAATGATAAAAACTTGAATGAACCCCCATTGCATGGAACACATCGGCCTCGTGCACTCAGTATTGCATGGTATCGAAATTTAATTTTTTCAAATTTTTCCAAAATACGAAAGACACTGTCAAAGCTCTATATACTATTTATATGTTGAGACTTGTCAGATGCAATTTGATGTTTTCATCGGAATGTACAACAAGTTTGATCATAACTCTCTTCAGACTACCTTTCGTTCGCGAATCGCACAATGTCCATAGTATTAGTTGTGTTTCGAATGCCATCCTTCTAATATGAGACAAGTTTAGGCAGTCTGTATATGGTTTGTTGGAAGAATTAGTCCACAATTGCAGATTAGAGAAAAAGACTTTTCAAGGAGCCACTGGTGCGTTGCAATTGCATGGCAAAAGCAAAATTTCGCAATTACTTTGGCTTTTATTTTGTCAATATTTGTTGGATATAATGGAGGAACTAAGTAAGAGTTAACGGGGGAGTAGTGCAGCGCTGGTAACAGCATTGTAGATTTGCTTCCACAAGTTTCTCTTTAACTTTCCATCCAATGTAACTTTGAGCTGTTCCGCGATATCGTCTCTAATTAGGCATGGAGAAGCAGCAGTCTTCACCGCTCGATCAACTTGCCCATTTCCCAATAAATCGATATGACTAGATACCCAAAGTATTTCAATCTTATTACCGCACATTATAATAGTATTTCTTATTTGTTAGTGGTTTCCCAGTTCCAAGTCAAAGGTTTCCAGATACTTTTTAACACATTATTTTTAAATTATTAATGACCATAACAGTTTTGAGCTTGTTTTTTCTTTCTCAGCGAGATTCATCATCCCCCCCCCCCTCTCCCCCACCCCTTCCCCTCGCAAAATTATGCTCCAAAGGAGACCGTGAGTAGAACAAGGGCATAACATCAGCTCGTCCGGGAAGAAAGTTTCGATCGTCCGTTTGTCTCCATAAATGCTTCTGCTTTTGCGTATATTTAGTAAGTGCAATCGTCTGAGCCGTGTTTGATGAAGAAAAAGTGAAACCATCCCACTAGTGCCGAACTAGCTACCTATACACCTATAGGTGCTTTTACATGATTAAGCAGAACTGAAGCAGCTACCACGACACGGCTAGGTGAAAAATTGTCAAACTTAGAGCAGTGTAAGAGATACGAACCTTCACTTTCCAGTTGGGCTTTGTCTTTATCCATTTAATGCCTATTTTCTATTTCATTTTATTTACTTACACAAGAAACTCAACTAAGACAAATTGACAGTCGCATTCAATTGACTCTTAGAAGTAAATCTTATATTATTTATTATTAAAAACCAATAGATAGTATACAAGAGGAGTAAATAAGAAGGAGAAAAGAAAAGAAAAACGCATGTACACAACTAGCACAGAGGCACACCCACAACCAGCCAATGTTGCAAATTGCAAGCGAACCCTTAAGCCATCGCAAACATGCAAAAAGCTTGGCAACCGATACAGTAAACAACGCCAATTGATTTTCGAATCATAATGAGATATTAAGACTAAACGTTGGTTAAAATACGGCATAGGCAAAGCGCGCGTACTAAGCAAAGTTGTTTCGAGAGACTTTAAAGAATCTGATACTGAGATTAAGTGATAGACACGATTTAGGTTTCTGCAAACAACTCGAAACGAGTTAAACAGCTCATAATTACATTTACATTGACTTGGCTTAACGAACTTGAAGTGCCTAGAGAAGCGGTTAGGGACATTGAAGCTTATCTCACCAAGTAATGTGAATGAGCCGATAGTCTTAATTAGTTAATTAACTTAATTACGAAGAAGACACCAAGAATAAGTCTACATTTCTCAAGTGACGGTAAGGATAACGGATGCAACCTATTTTCATAACGAGGCAAAGGGACAAGCGGGTCCCAACCCAAGTTTCTAAGGGCAAACAGCAAGAACTACTTTTGAACTGATTCAATCAGATTTACATAAAAAAAAAGGGGCGAGACTCAAGTATTGGTCTAATTAAGCACATGTGCAGCTTTTCTTTCAGCTCTTTGGATTACCTCTGAATGACATCAAGCGCGGACGTACCTTTGCTCACAGACAGCTCAATGTGCAAGTTAAAACTCGATTCCTGAAAAAGAGTAATTTGGGATGTTCCATCCCTCTGGCCGAGTAGTAACTCAACGGTCATGGGTTCGAATCTCAAGTACGGTGGGGTTTTCAATAAAATCGATAGCCTTAAATGCTCGCGCTGTAAGAGTGTAGTCTTAGGACTTGTAAATTAATAATAATAGTAATAATGGGCGTGGCCTCTTCCTACTTACCTACGTAACATATATCTGCATCACTCTATTAATTTGTTGAAAAAGATCCGCATAAGAAAGGATACGATTTTCTTGGATTTAGAGGCCTAGTGTATCCAAATAAGGAAATTGTGAACATTGCAGCAAATAGGACAAGTATTGGGCTTTATAGAAAAACGTCTTGGACGTTTGATGTTTGAACCTTGAACTTTTCCCCTTGAAATTTCATACATGATGGGGTAAATTAAAAATATCGGCGAATTTGACAATAAACAGTTATTGCAATAACGTATTCAAAATTGAATAAATTATTTTTTGACAAACTTTTAAGATTAAAATATTTTTCCGATTAATAAAATCGTCAATGACACAATGGACGCAGGGCAGAAAATAAAAAATTGAAAAAGAATGAAATTTCAACATTTTTTTATTTGTTTTGAAAATTGGAAACTAAAAAAAGCACTTCCGATAAAAAAGTTGACGCGTTGAATATATTGAGAAATTGAAAAAAGAATGAAAATAAATGAAAAGTTTACACTTAATATCCTTGATATGAATTTTATAATCACTTTTTACATATTTCTCTACTTTTAGGAATTAACCGGACGACGTAATGTTATTACAACTTTAAAAAAAAAAAAAAAAAAAAAATTAATGATTAATACGAAAAAGGGGAAAAACGAGAATAATTCCTGCATACGAGAGAAGCAAAAAGAATGGTATATATAATACAAATTATAATTAATGAAACAAGAAACCACCAGCAGTTGAGGCCGATCTAGATCTTCTAGATCTTGAGAACAGTTCGGAATATCTCAAGCGAGCGTTAATATTTTCTGTACGTGTGTTAAGTTTTAATAAATTGTAATTTCCTTTAGTAATGCTCTCATCATCATATCCTTTTGAACTAAGCATTTTCTTTTTTTTTTTTTTTTTTTGCACATCAATGATAAGTTCGCATAATACACTTGTTCGTGAAAAAGCTTGGCTTGAGATACACGCGCCTCCAACTAATTGGTGCATTATTTTTTGTAATATGTTGTATTTCTTTTCTTATTTTTTGGAAGAGTAACTTTTAAAAACATGTCATCGCAAACAAGTGGCGGCAATAATAATAATGCTAGTGGTGTGGTAAGTGGAGGAGGGGTTAATAATGCCCCACCCGGACAAAGTGGTTCCGGCAGCGCTAACAGTGTTAAGTCTAATTCGAAAATGTCTATTGATCATCAGGCCACACTTGATAAAGGGTTAAAAATGAAAATAAAGCGAACTAAGACCGGAACGAAAACATCGGAAGCAAAACATGAAATTGTAAAGGCTACAGAACAGCAAAACGGTATACTCGCAGCAAATAGCGGATGTAACGCGAACCTTGATGAAAATACTGGCGGTAATTCTTCGAATACATCCAACTGCGGCCCGAACTCATCGTCTAATAATAGCGGCACCAATTTACAGGCCGGAATTAGTTCAAATTCGAATGGCAATAAAAAACATGTTGGAAGTAATAACAGTAACCAAAGTAATAACCACAATTCAAGCAATAACACTAGTATGATGTCTTCGACTGGCGGCGCTAATATATCAAATAGTTCACAAGGCACGCCGCAGGGTACGAAGAGGGGCAGCTCAGGTCATCGCAGAGATAAAACTAAAGAGAAAAATGCACATTCCAATCGTGTAAATGTTGACAAGTCTACCTCACAAACGAATGAAAAGGAAACGGGAGAAAAATTGACATGTCAATGTAATGGAGATATTATTGGAGCCAATACCACAGTTCCATGTTCGAATAACTTATGCATTCGCCGTAACGAGAGCAATAAACTTCCCGAGCGAATGACAAACTCTAACTCTAATACAATTTCCAATGCATCAGTTCCATCTGGGGTTTTTACACCCACAGTGGATAATTTAAACGCTTCAGGGACATCTGCATCGGCTGCTAACATATTAACTGCCACAACCACTGTCAATTCGGCAACGATAGCCCAGGTGTCATCGAATAGTGGTGGCGGCACTAACGCGCCAGGACCGCCGAACAAAGATAATTCCTCGACTGCTAATGGAAACATGAAAGTTTCTCCACATATTGCTGCACAATTAGCTGCTGCTGCAGTTTCAAATACATTTAGCTCTAATACATCCAATAGTGGCGGAACAAATATCTCAAACACAAATTCTATTTCTTCAGATTTAAAAACCTCATCGTCATCACTAGCTTCGGGGACCGGTAATTCAATGCAGGTGGCTAAGCATATGGCACCTGGCATCATATCTGCCACTATGCATCATACTATTTCAGTGCCCGTTACGTCTCACTCATCCACTATACAACATGGAACGACTCCTAGTGGCAGTCCACCAAAATTAAATTGCGGAAATTCTGCAACAAATCTGAATGCCGATGAGACCTCTCGCTCTCCACCAGCTAAACGAACAAAGCATTCGTCAGCTGGCGATATGAATGCAGTTAAAGAGATGGTTGACATTTGCGTTGGCACTTCTGTCGGCACCATTACAGAGCCGGACTGCTTAGGTCCTTGTGAACCTGGCACTTCAGTTACATTAGAGGGCATTGTTTGGCATGAAACTGAAGGTGGAGTTTTGGTGGTCAATGTGACCTGGCGCGGTAAAACATATGTTGGTACGTTATTGGATTGTACCCGTCATGATTGGGCTCCTCCAAGGTGAGTATGACAATAATATGCTGCATAATTTTATTTTCATTGTTGTTCGCTGTAAGAAAGAAAAGAATATCCAGTGAAGTCATTTTCTTAGTCGCTTCAGAAATCATGTTTATTTATGTTATTACTATGAGATAAACTTGTGCATATTTTTCAAAGAACTCGCGAAAGTAGACGACAATTCCCATTCGATGAAGCGAAGTGTAGTAAATAAAAGTGGAAATTTTAATTAAAATATCGGGATTTCCTGAATTCGCTTGCTCGTTTACATTACAGTTACTAATTTTGGCAAAAAAATTTCTAAAATTTTCAGATTCTGTGATTCACCAACCGAGGAATTAGATTCTCGTACGCCGAAGGGTCGAGGAAAACGTGGTCGTAGTGCAGCAATTACGCCCGATTTAAGCAATTTCACTGAAACCCGCAGTTCTGTAAGTCTTGTGTATATAAAGAACAAAAACGTGTGAACGATTTTGCAAAATTTTTAAATCAATCGTAATTTCTTCTTTTAATACAGATTTATTTTTCTCATGCACAGGTCCATTCCAAACTTCGGAATGGGTCTACAAAGGGAGGTCGTGCAGCCGCACGTACCTCAACTACTACGTCTTCAGGTAGCAATTCTATTGTAAATACATCAAATAATACCGGTTCAATGCCGCCTGGCAACGGCAACGGGGGTACAACTCCCAGTACATCACCTACCGCATTTCTTCCACCTCGCCCTGAAAAGCGTAAATCAAAGGACGAGCCACCTTCGCCAGTTAATGGAGAAAATGAGACTTTATCATTGAACATGGTCAATGCAAGCGGTATTCCTATTTCGGCAAGTGGAGGAGGCTTGGCCACTCAACCACAAAGCTTACTCAATCCCGTAACGGGTCTAAATGTACAAATTAATACAAAAAAATACAAGACTGCGTCACCTTGCGCTATTTCTCCAGTGCTTCTAGAATGTCCGGAACAGGACTGTAGTAAAAAATATAAGCATGCAAACGGATTGCGTTATCATCAATCACATGCTCATGGCGGCGTTGCTTCAATGGATGAAGATTCGCTTCAGTTACCCGAAATTGAAGAGCCTCCATCGACACCATCGCCGGGTCCTATTGCGGCACCGCCGCCAGCAATCACACCGAATTCAACCGACATTCCAGGAACTGTCGCATCATCTAACAACAACCCTAACGTGACTGCGCCACATTCTTCTACTCAAGAATCTAGCACTGTTACAACATTCGGTAATTCGACAGCCCATTCATCGTCCGAATCAACTGTATGCACATCTCGAAGTATTTCAAATATGCCGCAGACCACGCCAAGTGCCAGTCTCCTAGTTACTGCTAGCGCACAAGGTCATGAGCAGATCTCTGGCGTACCTTCCGCTGGGGGCAGTATCACCGCGGGAACATCCAATCAAGCTCTGACACAGCAAAAGCAACAGCTAGTTGAACTGGCGACTGTTACTAGCGTAAGTGCGTCTAACGTAACGTCTCTAGAACAAAATCAACAAACTATGCTACAGCATGGACCTCCAGGTAAGGAAAATTTATTACATTTGCCCACATGTATGTATTTTTCCATTAAATAAGACAAAGCACTAGTTTTTTTATGTACACATATATATTGATAATAAGCTGAACACATAACTAGCTTCATATCTTATCGGCCTAGTCCAAAGATACCCATCACCGTTTGCCCCCAAAAAATGCAAAAGAAGTAAAAAAGAAAATTCTTATGCTCTATAATATGGAGTAGGCGTAGTTGATTTCTTTTATTTTCAAAATAAAAGTTTTTGTCGAAGAGATATGTGTGGGCGTTTGAGGCGTGTCATTTGAATAACTTAAGTCAATTCTAAACTTTTGCACAAATTTGTAGACAATACCTTTAGAAGAAGAACTTTTACCTCAAATACTAAAAATGTTGCAAAAAGACGGATGAACAGACGCGCAGGCGAACATGTTTACGTGTAATCAACATTTGAAATTGGCCAAGAATTTGTACACTTTGTGGGGTTTTTAAAGCTATTTGCTGCGCCTTATAAAGTTATTGAAAAAACAATTATATCCTGATACACTATAATAGGCGTTGTCAATTTTTCCAATTTTGACGCACAAATGATACGGCATCGTCCATAGAATATGCCTTAAAAAATTTGTACAATACTTACAGTAGTTTATGAATAATGAGTAAAAACTAATTTTTGTTTTCCTTTGAGTTATCCCAAGTTTACGTGATGCGGTGGAAGCACTTCCACTTCTTTTGGCAAATTTGAAGTCAATAGCTTCATCTTTGCGTACAGGACAATGTTTGCAAAAGACCTTACGCAGACGGACAAACGGACATGCTTGAATCGATTTAGGATTTGATGCTGATTAAGAATATCTATGCTTTGTGGTGTCTCTAATGCTTCCTTCTGGGCGTTACAAATATTTTGACAAAATGAGTTCGTCTCTCATCTTTCGATGATATGAGGATAATAATAAGTTTTATACCAGATCTTCGCTAATGTTCTAAAGCTCAAATATGGTCGACCAGCAAAGACATGTGAATTATTTTTTATCGATTGACAACCGGCTTAAACTCTAGTTAATCCTTTGCAAATTCGCCCATATACTATTATAGTTTATTTATTATCCTTTCAAGAAGCAACAAATTTTTATTTTATATTTCAGCAAAATCCGGTGTCCTTCGCTTTGGACAGCAAAATGAATCAAAATCGAACAATGCTAACCTACTGACTGGAAGCTTGCAGTCGATGCCTGTTACTTCGCAACAAACGTCTACATCTTCAGCTCCAAATCCGCCATCTTTGCCAGAGCAAGCCCCGATACGTCCTATATCAACATCTGTTAGCAATGATTTCAATAGCCAACTGGCGAGCAATACTTCGCAAGCGCCAATGTCGCAGCAAAATATTCCAATGGCTGGTAAACCCATAACGTCCTTTGGTTTGGTTGGGAAGCAAAAGAAAAATCGCAAGTCACCTTGCCCAGGTGAATATGACGAAGGAGGAGTTAGCGGGAATAATATTACATCGCGTGATGACGTTCAAAGTCCTGCCTACAGCGATATTTCTGACGACTCTACGCCGATACAAGACGCAGACGCACTTGAGAAAAATCAATCAGCGAAACACATTGACTTGCTGAAGAAGCCGCCGGAAATTGAAATGCCCGGATCCGGAGGGAATATTTCAGCGGGACAGCATTCTTTACCGCCATCTTTAGGCGGCTACAATATGTATCAATTCTTTCAACAGCAACAATTCATAGTTCAACCGTCTGCAGAACAACAGCAACTAAGCAAACCAACTTTACCTACAGGAATAGTTCAGCCTTCAAATCAAATATCAACGCAACAAAGTTCCCAACACTCTCAGTCACAATTATCTAATGCACATAATTTACAACAGCAGCAAACTGCGAATCACATGGACTACAGTAATAAAACTAAAGATCCGCCATTAGATTTGATAACGAAGAACACAGCAAATCAACAGCAGCCTCATCAACTCCAGGATTCGAATAAATCTCAAGATCTGACCATGCCACCGCAAACCACTACAAATAACTTGAGTAATGCTGGTCCCGTACCAACTTGTGGAAACTTATCGGCTAATTTAAACAGTCTGACGTCACTTGGGCCAAGCGCCGTACCGCAACCTACTCCTTCGAAATCAATATCACATTTTTATCCTTTCAAGTAAGTATAACGTAGTGACGTAGCGGCTACGTTCGCATATTGTTTTGAAGCTACCAATTGAAAAAAAAAGTCTGTAAAACGCTAATTGACAAAACATAACCACTAACTGTACTGTACTCTATGCGATTTTCAACTCTAGTTATATTCCATCGGGCTATCCATACAGTGTCGACTCTAATTATGGTCCGGTTTCTATAGTCTCCTCGGAGGATTCGTCTAAATTAGGTGGACATGCAGGTGCTCAGAGCCCTGTCGAGCAAGGATCGCAACAACAAATACCTGCCGCTATGATAAAAGAGGAGCGAACGAAAGAATCACACAGTCCTCAGGAAACTCTTAAACCTCCACCACACGTAAACGAGATCATAAAATTCTATACAAATTTTTTCATACGCGTTTAATTTTAGATTAATCCAAATAAAATGATCAAATCTGAGCCTATAACTAAGCAGGAGCCAAACAAAATGGACTCGTCTCCAAATGTGAATGTAGTAACTTCCCAGCAAGTTCCTCAGCAACCGCTTGCTCTTCATCCAAAGGATATGCAAACCTATACAAGTATCTACCAACGTCATCCCATTAGTTTAGCTCCTCAACAATTGTCGCGAGAAGAAGAGCTGCGCAGGTAAGTAATTTTTAGTTGTATTGCAACTTGAAACGACTATATCTTATATAAAATTATATATATTTCAGATATTATGTGTTCTCGGACCAACAACGTCGCCAAAACAATGCCATGCAATCGCTAAATGTCAACAACCAACAGCTGGCAAACGTTCAAAGTGTCCATCACAAAGAAGAACCCAATGCTCCTCAACAGCAGATTTCCATGCCTCATCCACAACAGCAACTGAAGCTTAAGCAAAATAATTCTAATGTAGGCAACGCATCGGTGAATAAAGTTACGAATCTTAGCAAAGATTCACCAAAACAAAAGCCAGATGAAGAAATCAAAATCAATAAACAGGAGGGCCAAAAACCCACAATGGAAACACAAGGACCCCCACCGCCACCGACTTCGCAATATTTCTTGCATCCTTCTTACATCGCTCCCACACCGTTCGGTTTCGATCCCAATCATCCCATGTATCGAAACGTTTTAATGTCGGCAGCTCCATACAATACCCAGCCGTACCATTTACCAATACCACGTTACCACGCACCGGAAGATTTATCGCGTAATACAACAACAAAGGCGCTTGATGCTCTACACCACGCAGCCAGTTTTTATACGACTCACAAAATTCATGAGCTCAGCGAAAGAGCTTTGAAATCTCCCAATAGCGGGGGGAATAATAGTAATAATAACAATCCTGGAGCTATAAAAGTTAGTGTTTCTAGTCCAAATATCGGGCCTCCGCAACAAAATAATTCTGGTTCCAATATAGTTCCGCACCATTCCAATACAAATCAATCAAACAATTCAGGACTTTTAAATATGCCAACACATAATGCCCATGGAGGGCCACCAAATAAACAACAAGATGTTCTTGGACACAAACAACACGGTCCTAGTGGACCAATTGGTCCTGGTGCACAGCTAAATGAAACGCAAAAACAGCAATCAGCAAATTCCTCAAATGTGCCAGGAAATGGTCCTGGAAGTGGGAATAATCCAGCTGGCGCTAATGCATCCGATTCACGTAGTCCTCCGCCACAAAGACATGTACACACACATCATCACACACATGTTGGGTTAGGTTATCCAATGTATCCTGCCCCCTATGGAGGTGAGTAGGACTGATAATATTAGTTTATTTATAATATAGGGTCTTTCATTAAGGGCGCCCCTAAGCGAACTTCGTTTTCGACGCTTTCAACGGCAGTGTGGCATGTTGCGTCGTCTTATTAAAATTACAAATCGGAGACGTGCAATTTGCCGCAAAAATAACCCGGCCAGCATGGTGCGGTAGCGGCCAAGACTGTTCTGAGCTAGTTTCATTCGTTAAAGAAAAAGAAGGACCATTGAGCTCGCCAGTCAGCCAACAGTCAATGTTATTAGCATAATTGCATGTCGTATATGTGGTTATCGGCTTGATCACTTTGTTGACACTTAAGCCAAAAGTGGGCCTTGTTAGCGAGGTCAAGCGATAATAATCGTCATACCATTTTATATTATGGTTCTCACCCATGCATTGAAACCAATACGATCTTATACATACGCCGGTTCATGTCTTTGGACGAAATACAACACAAATTGTTCGCGGTAACGACGAAATCCTGGGAATGGCGAGTAATTGATAATTGATTCGGGTCATCTCAGCAGCGTTCCCGATTAAAATCGCAATATTATTGTCACTCTTGGTACTTCTGTGACTTAGAAGAAGGCAGAAGGAAGATTAAGAACATTATTTCTTCGCTTGTCAGACGATTGTAACGCTCGTAAAGTTGTCGTGACTGAACGCGAATTTTAATAATTGAAAAATTTTGGATAATTTTCGAAAATTGTTGGAGCGCGTACTCTGCTGTGATCAAATGGCAACTTTAAACAAGTTATATATAAAGCATCAAGAACGAAACTAGAAGTAAAAAATTTCAGAACATAATCTCAAAAGAAGCCAACGAAAGTGGGGCGCCGCTAGAAGAAGTTCGAGCAACAGTTTAATGCCAATATTGTTAATTAATACCTAATAAACTATAAATTTAATATCTTTTCCAGCTGCCGTTCTAGCCAGCCAACAAGCGGCTGCTGTCGCTGTGATAAATCCTTTTCCACCTGCACCGACTAAATAGAAAAAGTCGTAAATAGTGAATAGTATTCGCTAAAGGAATTGCAACTTGTTTACTACTTGAAGAATCTTGCATCGTTTAACTACACAATCAACATAATTAGATGACATTTTTATATAAGGACGGTATTAGAAAAAGAAAATGAAATGAATTACAAACTATAATAATAATAATAATAATAATAACGCATATGCATACATACGTCGTCGACTTTACATATATACATAAAGGCTTATATTGCGAATAGTCAGTAGAACTTTTTTTTTTTTTTTTAATAATTTTAGGTGATTACCGATTTTAAGTTCATAGGTTTGTTGTCTATTGTTAGCGATTAAATTCTTAATAAATTAAACTTTAATATATATAAAGAGAAAAAAAAAAAAAAACAAATAAATAAAATAAATAAATAGATAAAAAGAGAAACAAGGAATACTGCATGGAAAATGTAATTGGTAGGAAAATTATTCAGTCGTTTTTTTTTTTTTTTTATGTGCTTAAAGGTATTTTCGTCGAGAGATGATGTTTCTTTAAGATTCAGCTGTCCTCCTAATGAAATATATATTGTATAATTATTAATATATACTGTAGGTCATTATAATTTATTTATACACACATATACACACACCTATATACATTAAATATATATATATATATATATATATATATATATATATATGTATATACATGCATACATAATAAAAATACATATACACATAGATGATAATAAATTGAAAACAAAAAAAGTATTAATTTGAAAAATACAAGAATAAACGATAATATCATTACAAACAATAATTACATTAATAGATTATAGAGATAAACGTAAATTTATAAAATTGCGATCAAATGTAGCGCGCAATGCATTTTGATTTTAATTCAATTAAAATTCAGATCAGAAATGTAACAAAACAAAACACACGCCACATGCATATATGTTTCAAAATCGCAATTCACAAAAAACTGACATATAAATAAATAGTTCTTAAAAATTCTTAATTTTTATTCATCATAAATATTAAGGCCAAATATGATTATTTTGATTAATAAATGTCTCAAATACGCTATCAACATTTAATATTTTTCTCCCGATATTTCGTGAATGTAACCTAATAAATCGTTTTTTCTGCAGTAGACAACTTTAGCGGAACCAATAAGCTTGCAACTAGGCCACCTCTATGGAAGCATATCATTTTTCCTGTTCAATAACTAATTCTCAATATTTCAAGGCTGCGTACAGAAAGTCTTCGATTTAACCTCGTCATTAAACAAAATTGTTTGACAAGGTAAAGAAAGCGAGCCGACAAATTTCCATCCACACGAAAGAGAATTTGATCAGAACATGTCCGTAATAAAGAAAGCAGATGAAAGCCTTTGTAATATTTAGTCAGTTTTGGGGCAGTTAGGAAAACGAATGTAGTAGGGATAAGGTGTTTCAAACAAATCTCTAGATGAAAGTATTAAGAATTTTTCTACAAAAGAGCGCTTTGCACCCAACATCTGCCTTAAGAAATTCAGCTTTGGAAATATTGACGTCATAATGCTCTAGAGAAAATCTCCGGCAAGGAAAAACAAGTAAGAACATTGTAGTCGGACAAGTCAGACTGACGTTGAAATATTCTATACTTCTTTGCCTAGTACGATTATTCCCTCCAAAAATTACGCATTATTTTCATGCAGAGATGTACTCACGAAAACCTGCATAGTTTTTCGTTTTTTTTTGTTATTTTAAAAAACCAGTCACTCAGGGGATGAGTCCGTAAACTAACGGATTTGTTAGTCCCGATTCTTATCCATTTGACTAATGCTGCGGACGATGCACAAAACATTCATATTTACTTCCTAAAAAATGTATCTTTCAGTTTCAATCATAAAAGACTGAAAACTAGGCCTCCTCTCCATATAAGGGATTGCTTTTCATGATAAAACCTATATATATAGTAAGGTCTCAAAAACTGACCTACCTGATCTACTATGGGAACAATTTTCATCATAAAATATTTCAAATTAAACATATTTCTAGAGAGCTTACTATTGATGAGAAACCTCATCACCGACGACGGTATAGACCGTCAATTTACTATTGTGAATCAATTTTCGTCATGAAGTAATGGAAATTATCCCATTTTACTATATAAACATTCAGTTTTCGTAGTAACAGTGATATAAGAGGTGGTTCAAAATATCGCCTCAGACGAAACAAATTTTTCATAACAATTTGGAACGTTGAAATATTAGGGTGTTGCAAAAATGTTGGCAAGCGATTTTTACAGGCAAAAATGATAAGCAAATGGGAAATACTATAACGGTTAAATTCAATGATTTTAACCTTTCTCTACATAAAATAACAGTTTTGCACTTAATATTGATTTAGTCAGCGCACGGTGACGGTAATCATGCAACGCACAGAATTCTTCTTCTTCCAAATTCATTACTTTTATTGTTTATTTGAAGAAATCTGCTGCCGAAGCAGGCCAAATACGTTCAGAGGCTTAAGATGATGCTGTTCCATCATATTTCAATCGTCGGTTTTGATTTCAATGGTTTAATAGCGATGACACGTTTTGACTGAAAATGCCATTTTTTGACCACTTGTTGTTGTTGCTGCTCGAATGGGAACTTGTGCCAGACCCAGCGCACTCCCTAGGCATTTAACCGCACGTCTACTCCTTCGCAATTCTCGCAACCGGTTCTTTTAACTTACCAACCTAACTTGACTCCTCATATACCTAAAGCTCGGCTTAAAACTCATTCTTCGTAACTAACTATTCCCTCTCTTTCCTCTAATTTCTCGTTGTTTAATCCTAACTTAGTCTTAGTCTAAACTTAACCCTACCCTAGCCTAACTTGGCTCTAACACCTCCGCCTCAAAGACGGAGAACCGATGAGGTCAAAACGAGGAAGGAGTTTAGTTACTCGCACTTCTTTCGACATTATATCGCCATGTTGTGAAAAATATTGTAAAATGTAGCCGAAAATTATGGAAACTATTTTAATTAATATATAGTACACCACTTTTAGACAATAAATGCTTTTTTCAAATGAAAAATGGGCAACATTTTGCAACCCTCCAACACTGTTACTTAGCGACTTTTGTCGACAAATTGTATAAGTCAGTCACCCAATATTATTAGGCAATGGGATTTTTCTTCTAACACTGTTATTAATGCGCATCAATCACCAGCCTATAACTATTAGAGCGATATAGGACGTATTGTTTCTATTAATTTTTACTTAAGTCACAAAAAAAAAGTTCAACAACATTTCTTCTAATTTTTATAGATCGCTTTTTTAAGTTCCTAGCCACTCTTGGTATTATATTTTTGGGTTAACTAATTTCTTCATTTAGGGCATCTCCGTATGATTTCAGAAGGGACACGTAAGTATAGAGGTCAGATGATCCCTTACTCTAAGCAAAGTGGTTTTATGAACATGATGAAACTCGACTCTTTCAAAGAGTATTACATTCTAAAGACTAAATAAGCCCCGTCTAAGTCAGATGGTCCTCTCTAAAAGGAAAAAATTGCAAAATCCAGATAGACGATCTACTCCTCTCAAACATTTTCTTCGTAGAATAGGATGACGGAATGTAATAATCTTCGTTTTAGTTTTTATTAGTTAAAAGCAAAATATGCACTCCTGTCTGGATTAAAGTGTCTGCCCGCGATCCTTTAAGAAATAATTTAAGAAATTTTCTCGCCAGCAATCGTTTTTATACAGCAAGCAATTCATGACTATGATTTGCAAGAAGGAAGGGAAGGGATGTCTTTAAAAAGAAATCATCAGCACTTTGAAGTTCCAAAGCCACGAACTAATATAAGAAACAAAGGTCTGACCAATAAAAGAACTTACCTCTATACCGTTGAGAGTAAGCTAGAAAGATACTCAACTTTTCGAACAGAAAACCATCATTTCCAACGCATATTTCTTTTTTGCAAAAAAAAATTCTCTTCACCCAAATTACGACCAAAATCATATTTCTGAAACAATCTTTCCCGCCAGCAAATAGAAAAAGCCATGAACAAACCTTAAAATTCCCACACACTCGCACTAACTGTCCTTTAAGCGCGTAGCAAATTCACATCTATCCACCGAAAATGAGTAACAATAAAAGAATGATCTTAACCTTTAACGGCAAAAAGCTAACTATATATATATATGTAAAAATTTGCAACTACGCGGCTCGAATCGTTGACAATTTGATAGAGATCGAGAAAGCGCGAGAGAGGGGTGCGAGTGTGGAGCCATGCAACTATTTCCTGTAATAGTCTTCTTAATACATCAAACAAGCTCGTTCATGTGATTTGAGAGCTCTTAATTTAAAATTATTACCTAAACATTTGGACTGCGCGATGATCTTAAATTTATGAACTTCACTGGTTGCTCATCACAAAATCGTTTTCCCATTGTTTCTTTTAATACTTTACATAAACTTACCTGCAATTAATTAGTCAACGCCACCGAACAAATTACATTAACATTTAGAAACAAAACTTATTATACTTTTTTCAAAAAAAATTCTTCTGATCGAGTGCAAACAAGATTTCACGGTTTTTCAAAACATATAAATTTATTTCAGCTTGGAAAAGCGAGATGTACTCAAATATTACATGATTAGTGTCTATAATAAACCACCGTGAGGGCCTGACCACATTTCGAAAGACTCGAAAATCCTGCAAGAGAAAAAGTAATATGGTTTTTAATTAATCAGAATCCTATGTAAAGCAAAAAATTTTAATAAAGAAATGATCAGTACAGTCCTTGTCATTTAACAGTCAAATGATGGAGAATCCGTTCAACATATCATCATATTATATATATTACAAGCAAGGAGTGTTAAAAGCGAACGTAGATTTACATGAGTATTTACCTTTTCAACGTTGTCAGCGCGGAGAAAGCGTGAATTCATTCCCAATTTCAGATCTAAAATCGAAAAAAAATAGCTATTTTAATATACGGATATGATCTGCCAAAGGATTTTTCGTTATGAAATGAGAAACTTAAAATCAGTATTTGATATTTGCGTTGGAAATGGGAAAAGTTTTCTTCATTGCTTTTTCAAAGCGAGCTGGATTAAATGTCATCATTTCAAGTTTTGTTTACAAACTGCCGGAAAACGTACTTCTTTCGGCAAACAAAAGACAGTGCAAAGCAACTTACCTCATTCTTTTGGCAGTATGTTTAGTAACGCTCCTCCATTGCGAGAAGTTTAAAAATCTGTAATATATATATATATATATATATATCAATACATTATATAAACAATGGAAAAACAATAATTGCTTAAAATATTTAAAATCATTTTGGCTATGCCTTGAGCACACGAGAAGTAATCTTCATTTTTAAAGATTTCAAGTCATCCTGTAGATGTCATTTTCTTACTTTAGTTAACAAGTTTGCGTTCACAACTTTGCGTGTCTACCTCTCATTAAAATAAATTCGTCAATAGACAAAATTAAGCCAGCAAAAGTTTTTTCTCGAAATATCTAATGCATCCCCTAAAGAGAGATTTTCTAATCACACGCGGATTTAGATGACTTCTTGTGTTTACAGACAGACTTAATACATTGACCGATGGATAACTTTCTTCTCCTAACCTAAAATGTGCTGTTATTTCCAATATTTGAATAATTTGCAAGGCAATAAGTGTTTGGCTAAATGGTTAAGAGCATCGAATACAAAAGGAGGAGACAAAAATATATAACAAAAGAAACGTTGCGAAGTAAGTTCGAATCAAATGAAAGTAAAAAAAAAAAAACTCTTTTGAGGACACAATACTACTAATGCTACTTTTATGGAATTTCTGAATATCGCAAATACTTTGCAAATACTTTGGGTAATAAAATGTTAAAACTCACCGTCATGTCATATTCTATAAAAATTTTCCTCAGCTTATTCCGCAAATCTGGAAAAGAAAATTAGTATTAATTATGATAAAAAAAAAGAAACGAAATGATTACGGTAAGAGAAGTCAGTAAAAGAAAAAATCTTCAAAACTCATTAAGTAGTAGCAAATAACCAAAATTGGTTCGCA